CAAGGCATTTCTCTTGCAATGTACGATAATGTAAAAAAAAAAAAATGGAGAATTTTTCCCCTTAGAAACCAAAGCTAAAATACATCTAATGGCATCTAATAGATGCACATCATTTTATGCACTCAATCGAAGGCTACCAGCTTAAATGGCACCATTTGGGAGCATCTCAAATTTATCTTGGTTTATATTTGCCTAGACTTTATACCACATTCATAAATTTGGGAGACCATCATATATTATTTTAAACAGTATGTATGTGTGCAGCAGGGGTGGGTTGCTAATCCCGTTCCAACCGGTTCGGTTGAAATGGGGGCGGCGGCGGCGGCGTACACACGCGCAGTTCACGCATGCGTCTTAGCGCCTGCGCGATGCTCCAGCTGCTCGCGGAGAATCACGCAGGCGCTGTATGTGCCATCCAGCTGCTCGCGGAGAATCGCGCAGGCGCTGTATGTGCCATGCGCCTGCGTGGAAGCACAGAAGCCTTCAAAGACCGGTAAGGAGCGCGGATGGGCCCTTTGCTGTTCCTGGAAGTTACTTCCGGGTTCACCGACCAACCAGTTCGCCGGGACCGCCGCAAACCGGTTGAAACCCACCCCTGACACACACACATATACTGTATATAAAGAAACGACTTCCCCCTTTATCACAAGTACAATTTCAGTAACATCACCTCTGATACTGTAACACCTCTTTTTCCCATATAACTATAAAGAAAAATTTAAAGCATCGTCATTCAGTCCTAATTTAAAACGTCAATTAAAATTTGTAAGAAATAACATTTTAACCTTTAAAGGGCCAACTTTATGTTCCTTTACTTTGCTTTTAACACAGTAACTTGGGACTTTTTTTAAAAAAACACAACCAAAGATCTCTTCTTCCTATACCTCATCTTACATATAAAACAGATTTTTAAAGCAGTCCTTCAGTCTTGGCCAACAAAAATCCATTAAGAATTACCAAAAAAAAACACCAAAAAACCAATATATCTTATTTTAATCTTGATCAAATGAACCAACTTTATATTCCATTCCTTTGCTTTTAACAATGCTGATCTTTCATCTCTTTAGATAATGTCCCAGTATTTGATTTTTTTTTCTTTTTGTCTCCTCAAAAACTTTAATGCATCTCTTGTAGATGCAAAATAAGTTATTCAATGCAAAAGTTATGAGAAAGTTATAAGAAAGTTAGCCAATGTATAAGTTGTTATAAGAAACTTAGCCAATTCAGTATAAGAATGAATAATAAAACCTCTCAGAACGGCAAGTTTTATTACACTGGGTGAGTCTCTTTCAATCCTCAGCAAAAGTAGTTTATGCAAGTTTTAAGGAGATAAAAATGTTTTAGACTAAACAGCCAAAGAGTGATTAGAATATTGATTTTGGAAAGTTATAAATGGTCTAAGGGGGCAAACATTAATTAGAAGAAGACATCCTGTAGGTTGTTTAAAATTTTATAAAAATATGTGAAAAGAATTTGTAACTTTCCTGGAAAAATGCTGTTAATTAGAAAAAATATGAGAAGACTTTGAAAGTTGAACACTAAAGCAAACTAGAAAGAACTAAAGATCAAAATTATAGGAGAAGAAACTCACTAATACAGAATGGAGCAAAATAGTTTTAACTTTGGAAAAATTTAAGGGTATTTGGGAACAATGCACTCAAGTTACTCTCAAGATTGTCTGTTATCAAAAATGGATTTAAAAGCAGTTATGAACTGTTCTACTGGGCAAGACGGAGAATGAGACTGATTTGAAATGACAGGTTATAAGAATGATATGGAAGCTGTTACCTGGATATATAAATGAAACTGGCTGATGTCTTAATAATTAAAGGGATATACAAATAACAACTCTACCTGCCATGTTTTAGAGTGAAAGGAAAAATTACTTTTGCTGTTACATTCATTGCAAGAACTCTCATGTGACAGCTAAAAGGAAAAATAATGGTGCCCTAGCCATTCAGTTGTTCTCCATTTTAAAAATACTTACAGTTTCTCTAATTCCTGATCCATAACTGGGTCAATTAGCAACTCTGCTTTCTCAGGAAGAGCTCCTGAAAATGAATAGCAAAGAGAAAGCTCAATTAAAATTCTAAAGCAAGAATAAGTATCTATATACCGTAATACTATGGAATCTGAAGTGAATCCACCCATGAAAATGGAAATTTAGGAAGAGGAACATCTGTTCAACAATTCCATGGTGGAATTCATGCTGTAAACTGCTCTCTGCATGGCTTAGGTTTGTTAGCCTTCTTCAAAAAGCAATTGAATTCGTAGATACGCATCCTGCCAACTGCCCGATCACCTTTTTCACTATTGCTACATTTGGAGTATCTTGTCCTACTCCTACAGGAAACATTTCTGTAGCAGCACAGCATCCTGTTAGCTCAGTGTGAGGATGGCCTGATGTCCTTCAAACAATCATGTCATTGCATGTTGCATTGTACATGAACTTCCATAAAACATAAAGGAACGAACAACCTAAGAATTAATTTTATTTTTTTATCTATATCTATAATAGCTTCCCATCTCTACAGGAATGCCCTACTTGTCTTTCGCTTTAACAATCAGCACTGTAGCTCCTACAATGTCTTAGTAGTAAAATATGCGAAATTTAAGACTTTTGCACTAATAAGGAAGGTTATTTGGTTTTCAAGGGAAAAGGCCAGAGCCCCAGTTGGCTGACTAATCAGGACCTCACTGACTTCCAAATATGGGAGGCTGCTTTACCTTAGTAAGTAAAATATTCTACATCAATATTTATAACAGTCACTAAAATATTAAATCCACATACAGTTACATAACTACACTGAGGATTAAAAGCCTCCTTCCTCTCTTTAGAGGTTGGACCACTCCGTAACAGACAAAGAACATCAAAAGGGTTTTGCCTCATAAGGAAGTAAAGAGTTTGCCTTCTGATATGAGCAGAGAAAATGGAGTACAATCATGTTTTAAGTCCCTTCTTAAGAATGTTTTTTGGGGGATCTCAAAATGCCAACTCTATGGTTCTTGTCATTCATCAGCAGCTTATAGCTGCAGCAGGATTGTTCATATGAGTAGAGAGGCCCATCTGTCCTGAACATATGATACTACTTAGATATCTAATGCTACCACTGGATGCCTAAATTTACTTGGTTGCTCTTCCTTCCTCATTCCTTTCGCGCCTTGTCAGCTACACGATGAGTCCATGAACAGAGTTGGTTTTGGTTTTCATTCTTCGCATAGGCACCCTGGACAAGGATTCAGTTCATGAAGCATCAACATGATCTGAATCTAGCAGATTCAAGTTGCCAATTTCCTTAACAGCCTTTTTTCCTAGATGAGGAAAGGGAAACTCAAGGTATGGATTGCTTACTCCGTTATTCTATATCTCCTTTATACTGTATATTGTTCAAATAATGATCAAATATCAGTATACTGAAATATGTTGGGGGGGGGGGAATAAAAAACTTTGATGAGCCATTATTTCATTTTTACAAGACAGTAGATTATATTGCTGTAAGACAGCCATGAAGTGATCAATAAAAAATTTGATTTTAAAAAGAGTCTCACAATCCAGGAATGGTTTACAAGAGAGATTTGTGCAAAGAGTCTTGAACAAGTAGACATGAATCCAGATGGATCCTCAAACTGCATATCATTATTGTCTAGGGCAGGGCAACCTCATCCAGTAGCAAGGACTGGAGATATTTAATCTTATGTTGCCCTCCAAATTCATTGCCACTCAGTCTTGCTAGGATTAAACCGAAGCCTTCCATCCAGATTCCAGAGCCTCAGTACATCCGGAATGTACCAAGCAAAAGACAGTCCATGACAGCATAACTTAGCTGACAGCATATTATAAAGGCTTTGCCCTTTAAGTAAAGAATAGGATTGATTTATCCCTTTCTGTTCCTTTGATTCAGAGCCCTGTACAACATTCACATTTTATGCCCTAAGTATACTTATGACATGGCCTTCATTATCCCTTTTTTGCAACAGTTCTGCCTAGCAAAGCTTCACATGCCATATACTTCCTTACCACTCAAGTCACCATGAACAATTCTGCAATTCTACCCTTTCCTCATGATTAACCCTTCATATTTCCTGATGATGTTTGCAGAGCTTGTGCGTTGCAATGCTTGTGTATCCAAGACTCTAACGTGAACGTAACGTATCCACGTGAACTACATAACTATGTTGCTCTACTAACTGGTGTGCAAAAATGGGGGAAAGGCAGCCTAATCTTCTCCCTGCTGTATCTCAGATACATATTCTGTGAAGATAACATATATCTTAAAATGGAGAAAAGATTTTCAGATTCCCTGATACACTATTGCAAAGAAGTGGTCCACTGGGGTTAGCTGGCAGATGCACTTACTCTTATGTTTACTTTCCTTCTGTACAACAAATTGTACTCATATTTTTTTAATACAGTGTGGTGCATGGGACTAACTAAAGTCTGTTCGCAAGAACAGAATGCTCTTCCTGTCTTAGGTATGGAAGTCTACAGAGATGAGTCTGCACACATAGTTCTTGGCATAACTTGGCATCCCCAGTATGTGGAATGCTTCTAAACTGTGTACGGCTCCCAGGGCAGCAGGTCCTCACAGAGATCTTTTGCGTAACTCTTCACCTTGCAGCAGTCATCCAAGGGAGAATCAGGGATGGAACCTCTTAATAAGGAAAATGTTCCTTCATAAAGAAAGCTGCATGTGAGGAGGGAAGGAGCAATCTACGCTTACTGTTTCTTCTGTCCTGCCTAATATCCAAAAAAGGAAGACACTCATATCCCTGGCACTATAATAAGATAGATTCCCCTTGCACGTATGTGCTAGCCGTTCCCGACTCTAGGAGGCAGTGCTCATCTCTGTTTCAAAACCTAAGAGCCAGCGCTGTCTAAAGATGTCTCTGTGGTCATGTGGCCAGCATGACTCAATGCCAATGGCACATGGAACGCTGTTACCTTCTCACCAAAGGTGGTTCCTATTTTTCTACTTGCATTTTTAATGTGCTTTCAAATGGCTAGGTTGGCAGAAGCTGGGACAAGTAACGGGAGCTCACTCTATTACATGGCACTAGGGATTTGAACCGCCAAACTGCCGACCTTTCTGATCGACAAGCTCAGTGTCTTAGACACGGAGCCACCGCTATAACGCCGAATGCCAAATGAGCAAATAGGGCTGCTGCCAGCCTTCTGCAGCCTCCATTTCCTGAATGTGAAGCTTGTTCTTGCATCTAAAGATCTCAAGGGTGCTCCAATCTCTTGGGAGAATTGGTAAACAATATGCAGTGGATTGGTGAATCAATATTGACAGAGGAGTGAGGCTGGGCTTACAGTCTGCTTGACAAATTCATCAGCTGGCTTTTAATCTCTCCTCCTCTTCCCTTTCAAGATGCTGGTGAGATTGGAGGCACAGTGGGGCCCCTGCCTGAAAGCGCTTTCCTTCCTCATCTGAAGCTCTCGCCTGGAACTGCCCTTGCTGCAGGGCTTTAGGGAGCCTGTGATCCCTTGCAGACCAAAGCCTATTCAAATTATCCCGTGTGCAGGGAAGATGAAAAGGCAGGAGGGGAAAAATCCTGCTTTCCTTGCCAAGATGCCTGCACCTGTTACACTTACGGCTGCCCCGCAAGAGGCCTCAGTAGGAGCCTGGCTTGAAGCCAGGACAGGCCTTTCTTAATGGAAGGAAAAACCCATACACAATGGCGGCAGTAGGCAGGGCTTTCTCAGCCCATCTGTTTGCTTTGCACCTTACTGGAAGTGGATTTTGTACAGGCAGAAAGAAAAGCCCGAAACGGTGCAATCTAGGCATCGTCTTTACTTGGGAATGCATTACTAGCTAAGCCTGTTTACAGAAGGGATTGAGGGCTTGTATGCATGTTCCTTTTGATATATAATCTCTATGCTTTGGTAAACAGCAGCTCCAGTTGTTGGCAGGGGCTGGGAGGCTGGAAAGGGAGTGGAGTTTGGACTAAGACATATCCTTGAGCAAAGAAAATGCAAAGGTATCAAGAGCAGCTTGGATGGTTGCTAGCAGGGCCAAGGAGGCATGCTGTTATATTCAGAACCCCAGAAATGCACCCAACAGGCCCAGTGCTGATCTCCAACACAGATTCTGCTTTGGAAAAAGACACCCATTTTTCCAAAGCCTGATTTTAAGGTTGCAGGACAAATAACAATTCTGAAAGGGCGTAAGTGCATTGCTTCTGTCCCGTAATCATGATATTTCTAGTGAAACAAAGTCTTGGCTTCACCTAAAGTGTTTTTTCTTCTGTCAAAGCACCTGGTCTGGCCAAATATGGGAGGGAGCATACTGCTTCCCTTTCGCCTTTCAGCCCCACTCCAGGAGCCTTCCAGGCAGTCACTTACACGACAAACCATTCTGTGTTACATTATATATATTACATTATATGTGATCTCTAGGCTGGAATACTGCAATGTGCTCTACATGGGGCTGCCCTTGAAGAGCATCCGGCGACTTCAGCTAGTCCAGAATGCAGCCGTGCGAGTGATCGTGGGCGCACCAC